TTAGGGCTACCGAAGCGACCCACCATAAAAATTTAAGAAAAATTAATGTTTTTATTAAAACATGTAAAATCATAAAATCATTTATACATACAAAAGTAAAATTTTCAAATATTCAGAAATAAAATAGATTTCTAGACTCAAATTAAAAACAAAAATACAACCTGCATGCCCCCTAATCACATGTACCATACTCTGCAAATAACGCCAGAGGAACTCCCTTACTGATGTCAATAGTTGCATTGGTACAATTCTTTTAACCTGAAAGGTGAGTAACAGAGTGGGCTTTGGGAAGCTTAGTAATACAATATTATCAGTTGATGCTACAGGACATGCAGATAAATGGAAAGCCATATAATTTCCTTATTGAATCAGACGTATACCGGATTTCGGGATAATCTGGGGATCCACTGGTAGTTCATCGAGTAGAAGCCATGAAAATCTCAGTTCATAGGAAGCATTCATAGTATCACTTTTTCAAGAGGTCGAATATGATGTCTAGTGTGTTCCAATCAAAACCAGTGAAAATTTATAAATCTTTTAAAACCATAGCGCAACCCCAACCAAACTTCATTATGGAGTTCCCCATAACTGCGTCCGTAGGGCTTACCCTAAGCACACCGCTAAGGGAGCCAACCTAAGGATATGCCTTGGGGCCTATGGGTCTACCCAAGGGTATCCTTAGGTCCGTAAGGATTTACCAGCTGGATCAGGACTGTACCTCTATACATCATAATCCTACCCATATAAAAATCCAGTAGAAAACAGTTTTAACCGTAAATCATAATATATGGATCGTGATCCAGTAAAATGTCGGAATGTAACCATGAAATAAACCATATAATTGCCTTCCACCAGTACACCATATGTAGTCCCATGATTAACCCAAGGGGAATGCCTTGGGGCCTGAGAGCCTACCCAAGAAAGTTTCTCGGGGCCTGAGAGCCTACCCAATGATTACCTTAAGTCCGTAAGGATTTACCAGTTGTATCAAAGCTATACCTCCATACTCCAGTCTACCCAAACAATGTCCTAATAAAACAGTTCAAATAGTAACCAATAGATTTCATGATCCATAAATCAGGAACGATAATATTTTCCAGTGAAAACAGGAGACATGATAACACATTTAAGGTAACCCTAGTTCATAAACCATTAATTTTATGATTCCATAAATCAGGAACAATTCATATTTTTCGGTGAAAATCGTAATCGAAGAATACATAGCATGTTAACATAGTTAATAAACCGGTAAATCAATACTTCGTTAAAACTCATTTCAAAACATGTAAAACTGTCATGTAGTACATGTGGAACAAACTAGAGGATCCAAGTATTTCTCAGAGGCACTTGGTAGTTATCAGTATGGAAAACATCAAACTGATATAATTTGATCGGATTCCAGGAACGAGGTTCTATTCAAAAGAATCGATTACTAACCGATCTAATCAGACATTTAAGGTTGAAACTTTAGAATCACACTATGATTATAAAGTATTAGGAAATTGTTCAGATACATCAGGAAAGTGTTCAGATATGACTGGAGTGATTTGAGCTGATAAGGGAAAAACGAAGATTTAGGACATTTATAATCTATGTCAACCGATCAGATTATCTCCTCGGCCGGTGATTAAATTAATCAACTGATATAGCAGATATTAATGGTGATTTGATCCAGACTATTATTCAATTAATAAAATTTATTTCTATTTAATTAAAAGACGATAATTAACTGTGGATGATGAATTTGATGGAAGAAATGGAGAAAAATATTAAAGAAATGGAGACTCAAAATTAAAATAAATGGAGCCTGGCTTGAAAATAAAGTCTAAGTCGTCCGGTCCCTTTGTAAAACCCCCGACCGATACGGGTGGCCCGATCTGATCTGGGTATCACACTAGGGCTACCGGAGCGACCCACCATAAAAATCTAAGAAAAATTAACATTTTTATTAAAACATGTAAAATCATAAAATCATTTATACATACAAAAGTAAATTTTTCTAATATTCATAAATAAAATAGATTTCTAGACTCAAATATAAAAACAAAAATACAACATGCATGCCCCCTAATCACATGTACCATACTCTACAAATAACGCCAGAGGAACTCCCTTACTGATGTCAATAGTTGCACTGGTACAATTCTTTTAACCTGAAAGGTGAGTAACAGAGTGGGCTTTGGGAAGCTTAGTAATACAATATTATCAGTTGATGCTACAGGACATGCAGATAAATGGAAAGCCATATAATTTCCTTATTGAATCAGACGTATACCGGATTTCGGGATAATCTGGGGATCCACTGGTAGTTCATCGAGTAGAAGCCATGAAAATCTCAGTTCATAGGAAGCATTCATAGTATCACTTTTTCAAGAGGTCGAATTTGATGTCTAGTGTGTTCCAATCAAAACCAGTGAAAATTTATAAATCTTTTAAAACCATAGCGCAACCCCCAACCAAACTTCATTATAGAGTTCCCCATAACTGCGTCCGTAGGGCTTACCCTAAGCACACCGCTAAGGGAGCCAACCTAAGGATATGCCTTGGGGCCTATGGGTCTACCCAAGGGTATCCTTAGGTCCATAAGGATTTACCAGCTGGATCAGGACTGTACCTCTATACATCATAATCCTACCCATATAAAAATCCAGTAGAAAACAGTTTTAACCGTAAATCATAATATCTGGATCGTGATCCAGTAAAATGTCAGAATGTAACCATGAAATAAATCATATAATTGCCTTCCACCAGTACACCATATGTAGTCCCATGATTAACCCAAGGGGAATGCCTTGGGGCCTGAGAGCCTACCCAAGAAAGTTTCTCGGGGCCTGAGAGCCTACCCAATGATTACCTTAAGTCCGTAAGGATTTACCAGTTGTATCAAATCTATACCTCCATACTTCAGTCTACCCAAATAATGTCCTAATAAAATAGTTCAAATAGTAACCAATAGATTTCATGATCCATAAATCAGGAACGATAATATTTTCCAGTGAAAACAGGAAACATGATAACACATTTAAGGTAACCCTAGTTCATAAACCATTAAATTTCATGATTCCATAAATCAGGAACAATTCATATTTTTCGGTGAAAACCGTAATCGGAGAATACATAGCATGTTAACATAGTTAATAAACCGGTAAATCAATACTTCGTTAAAACTCATTTCAAAACATGTAAAACTGTCATGTAGTACATGTGGAACAAACTAGAGGATCCAAGTATTTCTCAGAGGCACTTGGTAGTTATCAGTATGGAAAACATCAAACTGATGTAATTTGATCGGATTCCAGGAACGAGGTTCTATTCAAAAGAATCGATTACTAACCGATCTAATCAGACGTTTAAGGTTGAAACTTTAGAATCACACTATGATTCTAAAGTATCAGGAAATTGTTCAGATACATCAGGAAAGTGTTCAGATATGACTGGAGTGATTTGAGCTGATAAGGGAAAAACGAAGATTTAGAACATTTATAATTTATGTCAATCGATCAGATTATCTCCTCGGCCGGTGATTAAATTAATCAACTGATATATCAGATATTAATGGTGATTTGATCCAGACTATCATTCAATTAATAAAATTTATTTCTGTTTAATTAAAAGACGATAATTAACTGTGGATGATGAATTTGATGGAAGAAATGGAGAAAAAAAATTAAAATAAATGGAGCCTGGCTGGCAAATAAAGTCTAAGCCGCCCGGTCCCTTTGCCACAAATTTCATGCAAAGGTTAGGTGCCCATATACTACTTTTTCAAAGCAATCAAATCCATTGGGAAATATGAAATTATGTTACGCATTGTAATAAATATTTTTATGATAATTAATTTCTATTAATTTCAAATTGAATGAGGTTGGATTTGGTCTAATTTTTATGAAATATCCGACTTGATCAAAAAATATAATATAATTGCATCTTATATATTTATGAATAATTATAATAATACATATCTTTTTGTTAATTGTGTTATACTTTTTTCTTCTATTTAGGCTTAGGGTTAAGAATAATTTAATTATGTATAGTTGTGTTGTACTCTTCTCGTGAATTTTATCTTAAAAGACGAGTCGAATTTCAGGTTAGTTAAATTACACTAAATTTGGATCCGATTAAATTATAAATTGAAGATGTGTTTTTATCAGGTCATATCAAGTTAAATTAAATAAGATCAATTGATAAATGAGCCAAATGTCTATAATTATATTAAAAATAAAAAAAAAATTTTAATTATAAAATAGAATATGGATTATACTAATTGTTGAGAGTTTTCAAAATTTGCTAGTTAGAACTAGTGGCCAGAGAGTTCACCCCTCAATCTAAGTTGAATGTTCGAACTAGGAGGTTCATGATATGATGTGTGTAAATGTACGAATATACCCACATATTATTTTCTTCATTAAATTAATATAATGTTGATTATACTCAAAAATATATTTAAGAAATAATAATATATTTAAATTGACGAGATACAATAAAGATATTTTCCATATAATTGTTTAAACATTCTAATACTTTATACATTTTTAAGAATTTTAAATTTTAATATTTTATAATTCTAATATTTTTATTTTAAATATTTTTATATTTTAAAATTCTTTACTTTCTTAATTTTTTCTTAAAAATTAAATAAATGCTCAAATTTTTTTTAAAAAATTGTACTTTTAATTGATTAAAAATTAATTAAATTTATCTATTCCATCATATTTGATATATATATATGATACGTATAAAATCAACTATGAGGCTAATAAATTTAAATTAAATTGTATATCCTATTTGAGAAACCATTACTTTATTCCCTGCTTGGCTACCAATTTCAACTCAAGTTGCCAACTTCAAAGATTCTCCCAATAATATAAACTATGAATCTTCACCAGTTGAAACTTTCCTTTTCCTTTTTATTTTACTTTTTTACAATTTTAAATTAACCTCATAATGTTTACAAGGTAAAAACAAAGTCTATATAAAGCAAGTGAAAAGGGTGGCTAAGAGCATAACAAAACTAAGCCCAGCTTTGTAGTAAACATGGGGAAAATGGGGTCTTCAATGATCTCTCTCTTTCTTTCTCTCTTAATCTTAGCTTTTAGCTTGCCTTTTGAAATCTCAGCTGATCATACTTATTCCTCACCTCCACCTCCTCCTGAGAAGTATCCACCACCACCCTATCATTACAAGTCACCACCACCTCCTCCTCCCAAGGAGGCATACAAGTACAAATCTCCTCCTCCACCAACCCCTGTTTACAAGTATAAGTCTCCACCACCTCTGCCGGTGCATTATCCTCCACCACCTTACAAGTCTCCGCCTCCTCCCCCCAAGGAGTCATACAAGTATAAGTCTCCACCTCCACCTCCTCCAGTTTACAAGTACAAGTCTCCTCCTCCTCCTAAGGAGTCATACAAGTACAAGTCTCCTCCTCCTCCCAAGGAGTCATACAAGTACAAGTCTCCTCCTCCTCCCAAGGAGTCATACAAGTACAAGTCTCCTCCTCCTCCCAAGGAGTCATACAAGTACAAGTCTCCTCCTCCACCTCCTCCAGTCTACAAGTCTCCTCCTCCTCCCAAGGAGACATACAAGTATAAGTCACCACCGCCACCCCCACCAGTCTACAAGTACAAGTCTCCTCCTCCTCCTCCTAAGGAGCCATACAAGTACAAGTCTCCTCCTCCTCCTCCTAAGGAGCCATACAAGTACAAGTCTCCACCTCCACCTCCTCCGGTTTACAAGTACAAGTCTCCTCCTCCTCCCAAGGAGACATACAAGTACAAGTCACCACCACCACCTCCTCACCACTACTAAGTTACGGTTGTGATCGTAGTCTAAGGTAACATACATTAGAATCTCTTTTTCCATCTCGTCAAGATGCACTATTTCAAGTTGTTTTCCACGTTTTGATCGTTAAACAGCTCAATAAAGAAAACAATGGATTTTCTTTTGCAGGAGAAGAGTGATTCAAATAAAGCAACAAAATATGGTTTGAACAAATATATAGAGAGGCCGTGGAGATGAAAATCAGGAGCCCAGCTTAGTCTCCGCGTCTGAAGTTAATGATGTAGACAAATTTATATTCGGCAATGTATTGTCCAGTGCGCCCACTTGTTTTAATAATAAAAATGAATCCTTATGTAACTGTGGATGTGTTTTCCAATTATTTTACGAATGCATGGATTTGTTGGCACTACAAATAGTCCTTTTATAAATAATGTTCCACAAATTTCTTTATGTATTGCCTAAATCTAAACATATTTAATTTTACGATCCCAATTACTCGTTATAGAAGTGATCTCATGAAGCACTTGTTGAAGAAGATATGTTCATATAAGTTGTATTAAGTCCTGAGTTAATTTAGATTTGATTCTGAATTTCCAAAGATCATCAAAAGATCTAAAATGCATATTTTATTGCAGCATATCGATACATAAAAACAGTTCTTTTGATGAAATGTGACTGTCAGCTGATACTGAATTGATTCGCTTTGTCCGAAAACGGTATGACAATTCATATAGAGAAGTTATTGATTGTTTGCAGGATTGTTCTAACGTTTTTTTTTTTTCAAAACGAAAATGATTTTATTTTTAAGATAAAAATTTTATTTTTGAAAATTTAGTTATTTAGAAATAGATGTATTTCACACTCACCATCGACCTTTGGGGTTAGGTAGGTCGAATAATTAAAAAATGTCTTTTAAAAATAATTTAATAAAGAATCATTTTTAAAGACAAATTGATCTTTGTTTACCAAAATTCATTTTTTAAGGGATCGGAAGTTGGTTACGCATGGGGAAGGGAAAATACCCCCACAACGTCCAATACTGGTACCTAATCGCTTATGCTTCCTTGCTGTAATGAAAATTAAAAATGCTTAACTCAAAAATTATCTCACGATTTATTTTATTGTTTATCAATTAATTCGTTTCGAACTATAAGGAATATTCCCTATTTTGAGAAGAGATCACAGTATTAACATGTCCTCCAATGGGAAGACTTTCCCATCTATTTCTTCTCTATACAAGAATATTCCCTTTATTATATATTTGAGTTTCACATTAAGCATGAATCAAATATAAAATAAAATTAAAGCAATATGCCAAATAAACAAACACATTGTCATCATTAAAAAAACAATTATTATTTCATTTTTTATTAAAGTATACTTGATTATTTTCAAGTTCCTTTCATTCGAATACCATATTGAATTTTACTACCTCGATAGGTTTCACTTTCCACGCCCATTCTACAAAGTGCGTTCTTGAAAATTGATATGAACATTAGTGATTACTATTAACTAATCTAAGGATATTTTATCATTTTTAATGAAATATTTAGAATACATGTGTCATGTGAGTACTTAACAAATTAAATTAAGCATGTATATTAAGTAGGTAGAATTAATAGATTAAATTAGAACTAGGGTGGAACTATAGGGACTTGTAGGTAATAAATTCATTTTATTCCACATAGTAATCATGTTGATCAGTGACCAGAACATATATTCAATAAACCTAGGAGGACTTAAAGAATGAATATTACATTTTCTAACGCATTACGAGTTGAGGACTAGAACGTATTGAATCTAAAATTTAAGGACCAAGTTAAATATTAGGCCGAAGGTTTAAGGATTGAATCTAATATTTACCATAAAACACATAAAACATGCATAATGGCTAATATATAAACGGAATAAAACTTGAAGTTCAAACTAAAATTAGCACAACATTCATTTAGTGACTAAATTGAAAAATTACAAAGCATGGATGACTGAGAAGGGAATTAACCTAAGCGCTAAAACGCGCGCCTATTCCCCCTATACCGTATCGTTTGACGTAGGGTATATAACCCTAAAATCAAGCCAAAAATGACCATTTTTCTTTCATTTTATCACTTCCTCTCTTTTGCTAGAGAAATAATGTTTCTCTCAAACTCTCCCCACTCTTCCCCTATCCCTTCACCGTGAGAAATGTTGATTCCTAGTCGACCACCGCGAGTGACGATTCTGACGGCAACAACCTCCTTAAATCATCTCCCTGTAACCCCTAAAGCCTAAAAACCAAGCTATTCTAAACCTAAATGACTCTTAAACCTTTCAAAATCCTTAAAATAGAACCACAAATATCCTCTTTTATGAGCCCTAGGCCATATCCCCTAGATCTACAACATGCAAAGCCTTTACCTTTGACGAAGGCGGCTTTATTGCTCTGGTGAGAGAGACCGAACACTCGAATTGTGAGAATTTCCTTTTCTTCTTTTTCGAGTTCTCCTTTTTTCATTGATTCCTTCCCTTTTCTTCTCTCCATCCCTTTTTATATATCGAAAAAACATCTCTGTTTTTTCACATATTTTGGGTTGCATGTTATAGAGAAAAAAATCTTTGATTTTTTGTTTGTCTTCTTTCTATTTTCGACTTTGGGTGCTTTAATCGAGGAGGGTAATCCGACAGGGAAAACGTTCTGAGCAGACGACGATGACATGAGAAAAAGGATGGGTAAATATTTTTACCCCGAGTTCTTTTGGTTCTTCTCTGTGGTGACCGATTGATATCTCAGCGGATGTGACATAAATAACTTACATGTGAAAACAACGACGTTACATATGGGGTCGTTGGATCAGATCTGATCCAACGGTTACGGTATGAACAACGATGTAAGCTGATGATAATTTAGGTTAAACCCTAACTAATGATAAATCCAGGTTATTGGATTCTCCAATTATAATGGCTACAAGAGATTGGTGGTTGGGGTGCTTCACTAGGATTTAGGAAAACCCTAGAAATGAGCAAATCTTAGCCATTTGATTACTCTCCAATCTGACGACATGGGTCACGCGGCTCTAGGAGCAGAAGGGTGAAACCCTAGCCTCTTTTATCTCCACATGTGGGTTACAACTGGGCTTCTATCAATTCAAGCTAGGGTTAAATGGGTTTGTTTGTTTGTTGATGGGCTGTAAAGGGTGTGGGTTACTTTGTAATTTGGACTTCATTGGTTTTTTAATAACATTTTTATATAATAAACAAAATATGGATGAAAAAATAGTGATTACAACTGCCCCTCTTTGCTTATTGGCGAGCAACAATAATATAGCAAATACGTAAAACACCAATTTTATATCTTTGGACTGTCAACAAGTCTCGAGCTCCAAGTTCTTGTCATTGTGAACTTATTCTTCTTTGGACGAGTACTTCTTATATGAACTTCATTGGAAATGTTGATCCACCTCCTTATGTTATGGACGAGCCAGGGTTTAACAAGTTCTTGTCATTAGGAACTTTTTCTCCCTTATCGAATGAGATCTTCTCATTATGAATCATTCCATTGAAAATATTGATCCACCTCCTTCTGTAATGGACAAGCCAGGGTTCTTCTCATTAGGAATTTCTTCTCCTTTGTCGGACAATCTCTTCTCATTATGAACCCTCCAATTGAAATGTTGATCCACCTAGTTCTATGATGGACAAGCCAGGGTTGAACAAATTCTTCTCATTAGGAACTTCTTCTCATAATCAATATCATCGTAAAATCATGAAACACATAGAGACAAAAATAACTAAAACACCCTTAAGTGTTAATGACTAGAATATAGAAACTTAATAAATTATCAAGAATTAACATAATAATAAATCTTCGCATAATGTTCTAGACGAGAGAACGAGCGAGATAATAGCTAGTGAGGGTTGGCCTCACTTTAGTGTGTCGAGCTACACTATTGTATAGTTAGACTACCTCAATTGCCCTAGTAGCGAATTATTAGTGTTGTGTGGCCTTTAGGCCCTCAGATATGCATGTGTAGTTGTATCGGTCTAGTACAATATAGATCCTTAAAGCTTGTCTTGACTTTTTTGTAAGACCGAGCCAATGCTTCTGTTCAGCGGGAATTGTATCAATGCTATGTGACACAGGGTTCCCCTTCCATGATCTACCTAATGGCTATGTGACACCAGGAGATCATTCAGTAACTTAGTTAGAATTTCACTGATGTTTTGTGACACTGAATTCCTTCAGTTAACTAGTGTCTAATGGTTATGTGAGACCAGATACTAGCAGTGTTGCATTCAGATAATGAACATCAGAGTCAATGTTGCATTTAGATAATGCACAGGAGTGTCAGTGTCACATTTAGATAATGCATAGCAGTTACAATCATTAGGGTTAGAGTCTTTTTAGAGGTATTACTCATGGCGAGGCCCTTTAGAGGTATTAATTAATCGATAAATTAATATTATTAATTTAAAGAGATTTTTTCCGATTCAACGGACCTATATTATTCTTCATGAATAAAAAATATACATTATATTAACTGATTTAATGATGTTCATGTATAATGTGACTAATTAAATATAATACATACCTCTATGAAAAACAAAGTTCGTTGTAGTAGGTAGTACTAGTTAAAACTTAATGCAAGTTCATGTATGGTAAGAAAATCAACCAATATATAAACAACATTAAATATTTATAATTTTAGATATGAAATACAAGATTTAAATTTTAAAAAGAAGCAAACAACAATAGAATCATATTTTACTAAGTTGTCCTAGTTATATTTGTAATTTATAGAATTATTAATTTATAACATTAAAAGCACCATAGATTTATATAAGGATTTCCCAAAAAAAAGTATTATCTACTTAATTTATGGAAACTATTAATTTAGATCTTGGGCTCAAGTCGGGACCGAAAAATGATTATTTTAGAGAAGTTATTATTTATCAAACATTAATTTATAGAGGTTCTATTGTGCTAATAAACAGAGTGAAAATGGTTTATTTAAAATTTTATTAATTTATTATTTTTTGATAAATCTTGGGTGAATATAATGTAGTATTTGTTAAAAAATCTAAATTATTTGACAAAAAAAGCTCATATATCTATATATGTGGTTCGAACTGAGAACCTCAATAAATAATAATAAGTCATGTAACCATCGGTAGTTTGATTTTAAATATTTATTTAAAGATTTATTAATTTTTAAGTTGTAATTTTTCTAATAAAAATGTCATTTAATTCTTTCTTAAGCAGTGGCGTGATTAATTCGGGTGGTTCCATAAAATTTATTATTTTAACCATAATATCCCATGCAAGTTCTTTCATGTTGCCTTTTTTTATATTTTGTTTCTTACTAATTTGATCTTTTCCT